ACTGGCTGGGCGTGGCCAACTCAATATCACTCACATCGAGGCACGCATCTCCTTGCCTGGCCTCTCAAGACTGTGGGGATGCTGCAACAGTCGTAAGTGTGAAAAATGGTCATAAGTCACTTTTTTCAGTGCCATTGTAACTTTGAATGGTCACTCCACACAAGCAAAGTACCAGCAAAGGAGGGGAAAAAAATTCCAGAGAAGTTCCTGAGACAGGAAGTCTAGTCCTGCCAAGAATGTAATAAGGGTTAATGGAGAGGCAGTTTCTGTAAGCAACACCAGAATGTTACCTTCCTGCCTTCCTTACAGGATTAGGCCAGTAATTTCTTCTAACAACCGGTTCTCCGAACTGCTTAGAATGTTAACAACCGGTTCTACCAAATAGGTGTGAACTGGTAGAATCCCACCCCTGGTTTCTATTTCAGTACACTTTTCTTTCTCTCTGCTGCCTTAATAGGTGTACCTATTCTGCTCACCACCAAGCAGATGATGTCTGCTATAAGAGAAAGGGGAAAAAATCTATAAATTGTGTAACATTCAATAAGTGAAAGATGTTAATCCCCTAGAAAGAGTAATGTTTTCTCTCTCTTCTACACTTATCAGAGATTTATGCTAAAAAGATGCCCACTTCCACTTCAAGAGATTCCAAGATTAGTCATTTCTTAAATGGAAGGGGGAAAAAGTAGTTTTATTAGATGTTATCTTACCCACTGATCTGCCAGACAAGATCTGACTTGTCTGATCTTCCACTAGGGAGTCCTTGGATGACTCCTTTTCTAATTCATTGAATTAGGATTTTGTAAATTAATTATCCAAAACCATGCATCCTGCGTACATTTGCTATTTACAAGATGTAATTATTAAGCATATGCAGGTTTTTGTGGTACCAATATATTGTTTGTGATGGAGATGTAAATACTTCTGCTTACCCCGAAAGCAGACATTTGCCGCTTCGCACTGATAGGATTTAGGTTGACATGAACTTTTAATCCTAAATTATACATACATGGCCACTGGCTAATAGAGGCTGTAAGACAAATAGTGTACATCATTCAAGATATGACACATTTGACTCAATCGGGAACAGGCTTAGCTTGGGCCCACAGCCACGCCACCCTGACACCTGCCTCACCTCGTCACCAACACACCACTTGGCCTCCTACTCCATTGGGGCTGCAAGCAAGCAGAAGTGGACTGGAGGTCACATGAGCTCCTGCTGCACATGGGTGCTTGTGCTGTCACCATGAGGCAGCTGTTGGGGCGTGGATGGCTGGGGTGCAGAGGCCCTGAGGTAAGCTGGTCCAGGGTGCATGGGCAGCTCCACCACCATCCCGTCTTGCCTTGTAGCTGCAGCACCACGAGCAACCGGATGAAGTGGGAGGGCAGCTGGCTGTACAGGTTCTTAAGTACGGTTATTTGGGGGGGGTAGGGCTTATATTAGGTGTACATGTAAAACATGCTAGGTCTTATTTTTGGGATAGGTCTTATTTTCAGGGAAATGGTATTTTCACACAATACAAACCATTTTATTTGGATCCCAATCAGAATTATAAAGAAATGTTTTAGCTTTGTTCCTGGTTCTTAATTCAGTTCGTGGACTGTTCCTGATTGAGTCAAATGTGCCATATCTTGAATGATGTACACTATTTGTCTGGGAATTATATTCAGTCCAAACCACTGGTTCTATTGGTTCCTCACATCAGATGCTTTACAGATAGTCCTTGACTTACAAAACAATTGAGCCAAAATTTTGGTTGCAAAGTGAGACATTTGTTAAGTGAGTTTTTGCCCCATTTTATAATCTTTCTTGTCCCAGTTGTTAAGTGAATCACTGCAGTTAAGTTAGTAACACGCGTTAAGTGAACCTGGTTTCCTCATTGACTTTGCTTGTCAGAAGGTTGCAAAAGGTGATCACATGACCCCAGGAAACTGCAACCGTCATAAATATGTGCCAATTGCCAAGCATCTGAATTTTGATCACGTAATCATGAGGACGCAGCTATGGTCATAAGTGTGAAAAAATGGTCATAAGTCACTTTTTTTAGTGCCATTGTAACTTCAAATGGGCACTAAATGAATTGTATCGACTTTATATGGCCACCCATTTCACACAAGTTGACGCCAGCAGCGTAAAATAAAACCAATGATGAAAACATGTTATAAAAACAACTTAGAACAATTAATTCAACATAATTAAGTGTTGAACCCAGGACCAGAGGTGTAAAGAACATTATGTATGTATGTACACCTATGTGCATGTTGCTACACACACGCGCACACACATGCTAGCATTAAAGCCATATTTAAGTGAAGAATCCATGCAGAACATCAGTCTTTACTTTTAATAGACACTAAGATGACTACTAGATGCTAGGACTCTGACATGGTTTCACTCGGTGAAAAGGGTAAAGTATTTCATACTTCAGTTTCCCCTTCAAATCATGGTCACTGGGGAAGATTCCAACTGTAGGCCATCTCTCCAGGAGGGATAACTGGGTGGCCCTTTATGGACCAAATCATGAGACTATTGGGAGCAGCAGAGAGAACAGCAGTGTTAAGACATGTGGCGGCTTACTTCAGGGTTAATCTTACTTTTTAAAGGATTTCATTTTTCCCAAAGGATGAATATTTTTAAAAACTAGCCAAGTTCTAGGATTAAGATAATTTCTCATCCTAGTCGGCATGCCTTGTTTGGGAAAAGAAAAGTGCCCTAAGCCAAATCATTGTTCTGAGAAAAGAGTGAACAAGGTCACTGCAGAAAACCAGAGAATATGTTGAAACAGACCCTTATATAGAACTCCTTGTGTATAAAGTTCACAATAGTTGTGGAGGGTTACATTTCTTAGCCTCATTACATGCTTGTTTATAAAAATGAAGGCCAAGTAGTGACAGGTGAAGTTTGTCACGCTGATAGGCAGACACTTTCATAACTACAGGCTTTGGCAGAGGAGTTGTTAGCTAGCCAGTTGGCTGGGCAAGTAATCTTCAGACAAATAGTGTGCATAACTTTCTGATTTATTTTAAAGACAACGTTATGGAACTAGATAATTTAGTCTTCCAATTAGAAAGTAGAATTATCTTATGGAACTAGATAATTTAGTCTTCCAATTAGAAAGTAGAATTATCTTATGGAACTAGATAATTTAGTCTTCCAATTAGAAAGTATAATTCCCTTTGTCCATAGATTATTGTCACTTGTTTGCCTGCAGCAGTTACATGCTTACACATAATCACATATTGACAAGGTATATTGCAAATAATTAGCAGGGTATTAACTAATATAGGATATTAGTTAGGATATTTTCTTCTGCTCTGTCACACAAGCAATGGGCAAGTGTTTATTTGCCACAAAGAGGAACCAAGTACTGGGAATAAGTGAGGAAAATAACTGCTGACACAGTCATTATGGTGATTAAATCCGGCTTCAGAATGAAAACTCAACAAAGTTCAGGCGGGTTACACCCATCATTCAGAAAAGCAATTGCTATTTTTGTTTAATAGCATTGCAAGAATGCCAGTTTGGTATAGTGGTTAAGGCACCAGATTAATACTTGGAAGTTCTAGCCCTGCCTTAAGTACAAAGCCAGCTGCGTGATCTTGGACCAGTCCCTCTCTTTCAACTCAGTGGTGGGAATCAAATTTTTTTATTACTGGTTCAGTGGGCGTGGCTTGGTGGGCGTGGCAGGGGAAGGATGCTGTAAAATCTCCAGTCAGAGGTGGTATTTGTCGGTTCTCTGAACTACTCAAAATTTCCACTACTGGTTTTCCAGAACTGGTCAGAACCTGCTGAATTCCACCTCTGTTTCAGCCCCAGGAAAAAGGCAATGGCAAACCACTTCTTGCCAAGAAAATTGCAGAAATTTGAATCCAGGATTCAAAATGCACATGCACATCCGCGCGTGCGTGCGCGCACACACACACACACACACACACACACAAATAGTCTTACAAGTCTTTCTGATCTCTCTGTGAATCAACCTTCAGTGATTGTTCTGGGGTGAAAACCCACAATTGAAGATGGCATGATGAAACATTTCATCTATATTGCTCATAAAAACCTGTGTAATTAACCACTTCCCACCTTGCTCTCCATTCAGTTTGGTGCTTTGTGCATGTGAAAAAGTGCTTGGCAGCATAGCGCAACTCTATGTCTCTTCATGCCACTTCAGGTATGTCCAGTTGTTAGCCTCAAAAGTTACCTTCTCAAGCCAGATGTACTTTCACATCCTGGAGATTTCCAGAACGGTCCTAACTCTTCTGAAAGACAGTTAATGTCTGATGAGAAAGCAGTTAATGTCTGATGAAAAGGAGTGAAACCAAGTGACGGCTGCCTTTTCGTTCCTCTCTGGAAGAGTTTCTTGAACAGCATCCAAAAAAAATAACATGCTTGGCTCATGTAATGTAGCCTTAAGCCCTCGTAGTAAAACTTTTGAGACCTGGCAGGCACAGCAGATTCCTTCTTCGCTCTTGCCTCCATCACTTGATTCCAGACTTTATTTGTAAATTAGGCAGTCACGTAAAGCTTAATTAGAATTAATTATTTTATTCAAAAGTTGGAAACTGCAGCGTAGCAATGTGTTGACTGGCCAGCCAATGGCTTTCCCCCCCATTTTGTAACCTTAGAAGGGCAGTGTGGCTGTTTCATCTTGATGGGGTCAAATGAGAGCAGCGTGTACTTAGTCTACACGCTGAACTATGGTCTTTTGATGCATTTATGCTGTTGACCTAACACTTTAGAAACCTTGCAAAATATAAAAGCTTTGAATAGATGATTGGCTCATTAACTAATTTCCTCCAGACTGCTTGATGTTATTTTGTCCGAAGACCTGCAAGCTACCAGGGCTGAAGATTCAAATAACTTTCTAGGTGATAAAGGGTTCCCAGGCATTTAACTGCATACTGGTTGTTTTTTTTTTAACAGGAAGGGCTTTAAAACAGTTTTCCTGTTTAGGATAAGGTTTTGCTGTATTCTGCACTTTGGTTCTTTGCTTCATTTCTAGCGGGTGAAGGTTGTGGGGTTCCTGGTCCCAACCTGAGATTGGCCCATGATTTAGCTCTCCATTCATGTAACTTCTTCTTAAGACATTGCCCAGAACAACAGAAATGAAAAGATATGAAATGATACTTTTTATATGCATAATTTCCCCCTTTCCATTTCTTCAGTGGAAGAGGCCTCTTATATGGTGAGCTATGAAACATGAAGAATAAGATTCAAGGTGAACAAGTGCAGGATATTGCCTCAGACAATCAAACCCTCACTTTAAAAAAATAAAGCTGACTTTTATGGTTTATGTAGATGTATTTATGCATGCATATGCATCCAGTGGCAGATTTTATATGTCGGGGGGAAAAACAAGGCACAAGGTAAGCCCAGGAGTTTGCCTTAGTGCAGTGCATATTAGCACAGCACGATGTGTGAATTGAGAGTAAATATTTTTGCTCCTTCAAAAATACTCTAGTAACTTCAATTAATAATATTCCATATCCCATAAAAAACTGCAGCACAAGTTACAAGCATATTTCATTAAATTGAGATTTGTTTTATGAATACTGCATATTGCCAAACGTTAGGAAGATGTGTTGAAACTATCAGGTGATGAATGGACAGAAAAAAGTTTAGTGAAATGTAGATTAATGACATTTGGGGCTCCCCTTTTATACAAATCTGGTTATTCTTTTATAAGCCCTCTAGTAAAATTGATATATGAAGCACTGCACTGAATATAATTTCTTTTTTTAAATGAAATGATGTAATGTGGTCACATGACCATCAAAAAAGCTCATTAAGATCTGAAGCAGGTTTAGTTTGTATTTTTAAAATCTAATCTAGTAAAAAGAGAATGGTTGTTATGTACAGTAGGTTGTTGTGATTTGCCAGACCTAAATAAACTTTTGTTTTAAAGGGAGTGTCTTTACCAGTCTGGAAATGCTATATCACTCCAGCAGAAACTCCTTTTTGTAAGATATGTGATAGTCCTTCAGGTTCAAAGAAGACACTCAATTGTGCACTTCATTTGTGGACATAGAGGTAGCTATGCAGTCCCAGTCTGGAACTGCAGATCTAACACAATGGAAGCACTGGACATCCATTGTTGTAATAATTGTGGGTGTTATTCTGTGATGGAAAGGATAACCATAGTTTAGTTTTGTGGAGATATAGATGTTGTGTTGATTGAACCCTCATGTGAACACCTTCTGTATAATAAAATGTGAATTAAATATGGAAAATAGTTTACATTGATTGGTAAATGTGCAATGGATACATTTTGTTTACAGTTTCTTTCCTTTTAATCGTTGACTTGTTTTTGAATATTCTGGATCTTTAACAAATAAAGCATTATCACACATGTTAATGGACAATAAAAATTGGCAATCTTTTCTGGCCCAGTTACTATTGTGTGAACTTATGAAATTGCTTGGATACTAAAACCAAATAAACAGACTGGGTCAATTTTAGGGTTGATATAGAAACATGATTTATATTTTCTTTTAGTTCTGTCTTTTACTTTTTTCTGTTATTTGTGGCCTAATTATTGCCTTGTACAGTGCATGGCCTTACAACTAATCAATTTATTATTATTATTATTATTATTATTATTATTATTATTATTATTATTATTATTAACATTATTAACATTATTAACATTATTAACAACAACAACAACAACAACAAACGACAGTGTACACAGCAAATGAGGTGACTATGCTGGGTTTCGTATCACAAATCACTAGTCAAACACTTCCCAAGTGTTTAGGACTGTGTGATGCATCGGCGGATTATGCGAGCAGATCCCAATTATTATTATTATTATTGTTGTTATTATTATTATCTTTTACTCATTAAACATGAAAGTCAACTGAACATTTAAAAATGTATCACAAATATTATTGACTGGCACTGGTGGTTGATACACATTGATGCCAGCATCCTAGTTATCAACCAAGTATCTTCTTATATATATTTTTTTGAACAAATTTTATTAATTTTTAAAGGCATACAAAACATAAACACACAGAAACACAAAACATAAAAACATAAAAAACCTCTTTTCTGAAAGTTGCTTAGTCCCGGGTTAAAACTCTTGGTACAGACACAAATTCAAATTCATATTCATTTTGCATACCATTCCATATCTTATTAGCATTTTCAATTTTCTATATAGCTTCTCCTCTCTTTTAAATTTTCTTAATTTTATTTTATTTATCTCATCTCAATTCAAATCATAATATTTATTATTCTTTGTCTGTTCTATTTCCAGCTATCCATTTATCTTTCTTCTTTAAAGAAAACTTCTCCTGTACACTAAATGGAGTATGATGCCTTTATCTCTTTCCCCTATATTTATAATACTTAATATAGAATGCATAGCTTACATTGGGATTCTGTCTGGTACATTCTAAAATTATACAATATTATCAATACCAATACAAATCTATTCATTAATATTAATATTCATTTATATCTTAAACATTTAACACATTACTTTTCAGTTAAATCACATACTTCTATGGGAGCACCTATTTTCCATAATTATTCCCCCTCCCACATCACATATTATAAATCATTATTTCATTAAAATGTTCCCCCTTCTCCTACTTCAAATCTCTCATTTCACAAAAAATTTCACTAGGATAACATAGTCTGATCATTAATATTAACAATCATTTATATCTTAAGCATTTTACCCATTTCAATTAAATATCATGCCTTTATGGGAACACTTATGCTTTCCAAAATTATTTTCCCCCCCCACACACACATCACATATCTTAAATCATTGTTTCATTGAAGTGCTCCCCTTTTCTTAACAAAAATTTCACTAAATTATACTAAATATTTTATCACATTTTAAATTGCATATTATTTCCAATTTTCTAAGGTTATTTCTAAGTACAAATGTAAAAATACAATCTTATGTACCTTTCTAGAATCCCTTTTTCAATAAAATTTACCCATTATCTCTAAAAAACTTGTTTCTTTGCATCTTGCTCCCCACCATTAAGGCTTCTCATCCCTTCCTTTCTCCCTTGCTTATTCTTCTCCTTGTCCTCTTTAATCCCTTGTCTCTCCACCTCCCTTTTATTCTACTTTCCTCCTTTCTGTTGTTTTCTAACATAATATCCCCTTTTCACCTTATTCTTCTCTTTTTTGGTTGTTTTTCCAAGTCTTAAAGTCTTCTTTTCCGTTTTCTCTTTCTCCTTTCCTTCCCCGACCAAAGTCACTTGTTCATCAAAAATGGCTTCTTCTTTGTCCCAGTCATCCTGTTGCTCATTCAGCTTTACATAAGTGCAAACCGCCATTTCTAAAAATTGAAAAAGAGTGCCAAGAACATCCTTCCCTTCTTGCTTTTCTTTTTCATATTTTTGGTATACAAGTTTCAATCCATCCACAAGTGATGCCATTGTGTAGAGAAA